TGGCGCTCGCTCAGCCATAAAATGTCATAAACAAGGCCAGGGAGTTGTTATTTAAGTTGTTTATCAAAATAACAACTCCAGGGCAAGGCAGGCGTGGTAGAACCGCCTTCCATTGTTTATCCTCCATGTTACGATCTTTTGCATCCAGCGCCGACCTCATTCAATGAGATGGCTGTCAGTTGAGTAAATAAATTTCAACAAATCAACGAAATCAGAAATCAAATGGATGGGGCCCAAGTTTTCGCCGCGAAGATTTGGAACAGAATCGGTGCATAAAAAATACTTTTTCTTTCAAGTAAGCTTCAGTTCTTTAATAACAATACTAACAAAATTATAGTTAATCGGTTTTGGTACTAAGCAGTCTTCCGAAAAATGAAGTTTATTTTAATATCGATCCCGAAATACATGTAGGGCTTAGGCCTAGGCTGTATCTGCACTGCAGGGTATGTACTGCTGTATGGTGTTGTGTTGTGTGGGCGTCTGTGTGTAGTGGTGGTCGTGACTCTGCGGCCTTAGGGCTAGTTACGCACGTATAGATTGAGATGTAATAAATCAGCCATAGACTCTAACATGCCAATGAACCAAGCAAAGCCTTGTTGACTGCTGCCAAGAACGCTTTACTAGCAAAATGCTAAATAATAATATTTATAAATTTATATTTTAGGCCAACTGCAATGTGTAAACGAATGTAAAATTGTTAAATAAAAGTAAACAAATTGATGAAAATTGTTTGTTTTCTTCATTCTGTGTAATACTTTCATGTTATGCAGCGCGTTGTAAGGCATCACAGTGCGTCGCTACAGGAGGCGATCGCTTCATGAAAAAAATCTCCCTATTTTTTGGTTTTCAACTTGGAATCTCTGATTGCAGCACAAATTGAATTGGATCAAATATTAATTCAGAACAGCAAAAGACAATTATTTATGACAGAGTGATTTGAGGAAAAAAGGTAACTTTATTGTGAAATAAACATAACACATGCTTTTGAGATTTGCTTTATTATTCAGTTTGACTTTTCATTAAAGTTGTGTGTACAGTAACTTATTTTGCTGAGGGTCCATTCAGAATAAGCTATGCACTACAAAAGCAGCCAGCCAATGGAAGAAGAGCCCTGGATGATAACTACTGTATTTACAATCATTCTGACGTGTACTTTACACACCTTGGTAAACAGAGCAACATGCAAGAGAACTGAAAACAAATGAAGGTTCGCAACTTACTGACATTGTAACACTGATGACAGTTGCCAAGGTGACATGGCTCCTCACAACGATGTTGTCGGCATGTTAACCAGCGTCCGCACTGCTGGATGCAGACATGTTCTGTGTTCTGGTAAGATCAAAAGCAAGAAATCAATACAATTATTACAACTACACATAAGAAATATGGATCTAGCATGCAGCTATTTGGTGTGTGATGAAAACTGGAGATCCTTGAATCAAGAGATCAGTCAGCTAAACTGGTGGTAGGCACTGCTGAACCCTGAACCACAGAGTTCTTTAAAACAAAAGAGCAGCATAGTTCTCTGTCAACTGCACTGGATCTAGCCTGTGCTCTTTGAGTTCATGACTACATCTTTAGGGAGTGATTTTGGTCGTTGATCCAACCTCTTTCTGAATAAGGTATAATTTTGATGTCTGAAAACAAAAATGTTCCATCTTTCTATGAATTTCATAGAAAAACTTGCTATGGTTTCATGATTAGAATGTAACAATACTGTCATAAATGCAGTTGTGAAATCTTTCTTGTATGAGTAGAAAATGTATTATCAACTGGATGAGACATTTGGAAACTTAGTGCTGTTATTGTAGTTTATTGTAGGCCTACTTGTATTGTGACTTCGTATCCTGGATGAGACACTTGAACAGTGCTGTGTTATTGTAATTTATTGTAGGCCTACTTGTATTGTGACATCATCACTTCCTGGATGAGACACTAGAACAATTTAGTGCTGTTTTTGTGGATTATTTTGCTTCTGTATTTTATATATATTTTTTTTGTAATTTTGTTATATAGGGAAATCTGAAATTTAAAAAAAATATTGGTTGATAGAGGTTATAAACTAAATTAACCAGTACCATCCTTCCAGAGATGACTTGCTACAGTATAAAGCAGCTCACATAAACATTAAACATATGAAGCCGTATACAAATAATGAATGTTTACAAGTGCAAGGAGGAGTATTTCTTTCACTGAAAGACTGCATGTTCTATTCAACAAGGCATAGCCAAGTTAAATAGAGCATCTACTCTTTCACTTTTTACTGGAATATTCTACCCTATTGTACGAATAAGAAACATTCATTATTTGTTTTACACAACACCTAGATGTATTTTTCTGGATCGCCTGCATGCTCTTCTCCGAATACAAGGACCCATCTTCCTTTCGAAGACCAGAATAAAACCGGCCTATAACTAGGCCTATAAGCATAGGAATAGATCAAGATCAGGTTCGGCAAATATTAGACTTGAATCCTCACCACTGAAGCTGGCGAAATACTTCATACCGTTAACTGCATATTTTATTGACTTTTTTGTTGATTCAGCATAACTTTCATTCAGTAATTCCTCTAACCTTCTTCGCTCAAAAGTACAAATGGCCAAGTACCAAATGAACCTCTAATTTTATAGGAAGAGTGAGGGCTTCTGAATGACCAACTCCTTGTTGACGCGCGGGTTACCTATGCTTGGCTAATTTATATCGCTCAGGTTGCATTCAAGATTTTGTAATCTTGGAGATGAAAAAGTACTATTCAACGATCGTTGACTAGTACTCAAATAATCAATGAATTTTAATTTTAAATCAATCTCACATGACCTGTTTTCAGCCAATTAAATTAATAGAATATATACAGGTGTTTTATAATACCTTTTATACATCCCAAAGTCATCAAGAATGTTGGCCATATATTTCAGTAAAAAATTTTTCAATAGCCAGCAATAAAAGTTCAATATAGAGCATTGATTGTGGTGACTAATACACTACTGCACGACATAAAAAGACATCTCTGCCCCTATAGTATTTTATAATATTGTGGAGGAAATAAAACAAAAACTTACAATGCAACATTTATTTTGGCACTTGTGACGGCCGCAATGCATTTTCTTGTTACACTTTCTATCACACTTCAACTGTTCTTCTGGTGGTAGGTTAATGAGGTCTTTGCAACTTATATCAACGAAGCGGTTGCCGCATCGACACTTAACGCTACTTGTTCCAGTCACGCATGCAGGGCATTCACCCTCATGACATTTAGATTGACATAAATGAAGCTCACCTGAGAAAACAAAAAATTCATACTGATTGTACAGTAATTAGTAACAACCAAAATATTATTACCTCTGACAAGTCAACTTGACTCCAGTCAACTCGGCCCCAAATCAACTAGGGCCCATGTCAACTCGGACCCAAGTCAACTCGGCCCCAAAAGTTGACTTGGACCAAGGAGACTTGGGGCCAAGTTAGCCTGCTTCTATTCACAGTTGTTTGTCAGGCTTTCTGTTAGCAAGATTATGTCAAACCTAATGAATGGATCATCATAAAATTTATAGTGCAATGGTACAGTACATAGTAAAGAAAGACACCATTCAATTTTCAGAAGAAAAGGTCAAAGAACAAGGTCAACGTCACGGAAACTCAATTTTTACCCCCGAGCATTAAAAAAAAGTACAACTGGCAATTACATTACTTCATTGAGGGTATGCTGCAGTTTCGCCCATTATACCCAGCCTGCATATTATTGGTACTGTATTCAGCCACAGGGCGGAGATATGCACTCTATAGAGCGACTGCTCTAGTTGTTAATGTTATACAAATAGTGAATATTTATGAATGGAAATTACTTACATGAGTTGAAAATGTACTAGTGGGTTGAAATTAGTTTATATTACAATAATATAGGCTTAAATAACACCATGTTATTTTGGCCTAATAAAATATTGGTGATGATGGTCATATTAAGTATAGTACATCATCATTATTATGATGATGGTAATAATAAAGGTGTCTATAATGATGATGTAAAATACTGATATTGATTATTATGCTGACTACAGTGTTGTTCACGTATTATAATGAGAATTCTAATAATATTGATGGTAATTTTGATGAATAGAATTAACAAAAACATTCTAACATAATGTGTAATATTTCATTAGGAATAAAAAAATAGTATCTTTACTTTCTCCACCGCACTTCAATGGTCTACCACAATTCTTGTTGCATGTAGGTATAGGATCCCGGCAGGAAGTCCGGACCAGAGCTTCAAGATCGCTCAGCAGAGTTTGGTTACATGGACAACGATTCAGTTTATCAGGGCCTAGCTGACAAGGCTCGCAGTCCCCTGGATGGCATGGTATTTTGCATTTGTGAAAGCCACAGTCAAGTTCTCTAGAAAATATATTTTATTATTGTTAATTAATGCTTATTAATGATTAATCAAATTATGAAGTTTCTTCCTTATTTAATTTTCTTGCCTTCCATGACATTGAAACAATGGAACATGAAATATATGTCTAAAATATAATTATAACAATATTAGAAAAAGATCAGTAGCAGTGTGAAGGACAAAGTCAAAACGTTTCTTGCATCCAAAATGAACTGCTCCCAACACCTTAAGGCAACAGCAGAAAAAAAAAAGAATCAGTGAGTAATTAGTGATCTTAGTACATATGCTAATATTGTCACACATTCACAAATTATTAAATATTTTATACACAGGTTTGCATGGAGAGTGAATAATAAATAACATTAAACTAAAGGTATACAAAGAGTTCAAAGTTAGTTCTGAGTAGATCCAACCATCAAATATTTGCCTGTAATACTCACACAAATAAATTTCATCTGATTTTGATGAAAAGAGCACTGTAAAACTTTCAAGATATGGAATGTTCTGTAAGTTGTTTGGCATATTACATTATCAAAATGTGATCAAATATTGCATGTTGATTTAGACAGACTTTCTTCAAACAATTGTAACAGTATCAATTACCTTCCACATTCAGAAAGACATGAGTATATTCCACTTTCTTTCTCTTCACAAGGGATCAGTGCCTGTTCCCCTCCGCATACCACATCTCTGGATGTGTGCTGTCCAAAACAATCTACAAATAACAAGTAGGATTTTAAATTTGACAACAAATAAATATGAATATTTTTTTTTTATTATTTTAATAAATACTGTACAGTATGATTTTTTGTTTCAATTGCAAAATTAGCATGAAGCCTGGTAAGGTGCCAACTTTCCAATTTTTGGATGCAGGGTTCAAATCTTGAAAATTCCAATAAATGTTTTTGTCGTAACTGACAACCATCTAGTATACAAAGTGTGTATTCATTCTCTCTCTTACCCTGTGTAATCTTTTCTTGACATGGATCACAATCTCCACTATGACACACTTCTTGACACTGATGTATCCCACAATTTCGCATCTTTCCACAGGTGTCTTCACATCTGTACACATGCCCTGAACCACATCTTGTTGTCTGCTGTGACTTCTTACAGAGACAATGAACTGTCACATTTGCCGGACACGGTGGACAGGGGCCTGGATGGCACAGGATGTTGCAAAGGTGCGGACACTGCAGAACTGGCGATCGCTTACGGCTGCAAACGTTGCTGCAACTATGTGGGGTCTCCCCTGGGATGTGTGGCGGATCTCGCATTTTACCACAGAAGCATTTATAAACGTACGGGACCTTAGAAACAGGACTACGACAACCAGGACACATCCACGATTCACCTTCTGCAACTTAAAACATTTTCAAAAATGTTAATTTCAATACAAATAATAAGGTTATAATATTAGCAATACAGTACAATGAAGTCAGTAAAATTGAGATTGTAAGTACTGTATAACATGGATGAAGTTTCTACCTGTATCTGATAGTAAAGGTGAAAAAGTAATCCTAAACTTTCTGCCCTGTGTCATGATTGGCTTTGATGCAGTACTCATCCATTATTAAGGACTTTCGATTGCATGACGCAGTAGGACATAATGACGTCACTAACAAGTCATCTGCGCATGCAAGAATGCTAAGTTCTCCTCGTCGCGTGAATTCTAGGACACAATTTGGCCAAATTGAAATTGTGCAGATAATGAAGATAATGAATGAGTTAATCCATTCTAGCATCGCATTAATCGCAAGCTCCCTACCACCTGATAATAACAAAAACATTTGACAGTACACGTCCTTTCATTGGCTGTAAGGTAAAGGTAATAAATTAACTTATCATATTTCCACCAATCAATTGGGATATTTTGGTGTGCAGAGACATTTCAGACCACCCCTCCTACCTACCCTTATTTTTCTTATTATTTTTGTTTTAAACCATATTTATAGATAGTTACCCTTCCAGCGTATACTAGAAGGTCATCTGATATTCTAGGGCCTTCTTAAATAAATGAAATAACGTGATGCTATTATCCTGCTCTCACTGTAATCGGACCCAAGACCTTGTGGTTAAAAGGCAAGCACCTTAATCACTAAGCTATTCAACCCCACTCCTTATATGGCTAGGGTTGTGTACAATCCCCACCATCACCATATCTTCATACTACACTGACACTCTACTGTATAGCCGTGTAGTGTTATAATAACATATCGTATTTCATTTAAAACATTTAGAATACAAAAACATTAATACATGATTGAAAAAGAAAAACAAACAAGCCATTAAAACCTAATTGCTCCAAAAAGTAAAATTACTGTCAGTTTACACTCCATGTTTTATCTGCTGCTGAATACATTTTCCTCACCTGTTTCAAGTTGGTGTATATTAGACCTCGCCCATCGTTTGATGCACTTCATATGAAATACTGCAAAACAATTCTGGCAATTCCAGGTAGGAGCGGCTGCCTTGATGGCGTCACAGCATACCATACACTCGTACGATTGATTTGTCAGCTGCTCAATCAATGTTCCTGTTTGCGATTCAAGACTCTGCTTCTGCCCCTCATTTTTCTCTGTCAACTCTTTTTCATATTTTTCTCGCACATTTTTCCTAAAAACCGTCTGTTTTTTTCCATATTTGTTTTCAATTTTTCTATTCCATTCCTCAAACTTATTTCTGTTTGGTATTCTATGCTTATTTTCATTAACTTTTTTCCCATCTGCATCCTGTCTCCTCCCATCATTTACTCTTCCGTTCATTGGAAGATTTTTTCTTCCTGAAGTCCCATCCTTTTTATATTCATTCTTTTTTTCAGTAGTGGTATTCTTTTTTTCCTTCTCTGAGGTTTCAATCTCATCCTGCTGTGGTGTTCTGTATTCAGAATCTTCTCCTGATTTACCTTGAATGCGATTTTCCTCCGTTAGTTCATGATCATTAGAATTCCTAGTGGATGGGACATTAGAAGAATCTTTTCTTCTTTCATGGGGTTTGTGCTTCAATCCTCTTCTATCAGATCTTTGATTGTTGTTATTCCATCTGGGATTTCCCACATTACTCCCATAATTCCATTGCTGATTATACTGCCTGTACCCCTGATAATGGTGCATACCTTCGACTGGGCCATTATAAACAGCTCCCTCTGGAGTCATAAGCATGGTGAGCTGTGGATTATAAGAGCTAGCTCCATAAACAAACTGTCCTGAAGCAAAATCATTACTATTCCTTGGAACATTCCACAAAGAAGGTCCATCAACAGGATACATCATGTGACTATTTGGTATGGGGTAATGTTGTCGTGGAGGATTCCAGTGCCTTCCCCTCCCTCTTCCCCTTCCCCTGCCATATTCCTTTGACCAAGTCCTGCTGGTATCTTGGTAAGATGAATTTTCTGGTCTGTCGTGGTTTGGATTACCCAGATATGCAGCTTGTTCATCATGTGACATTGTACCTTAAATACAAACAAGCCTAAAGTTATCACAATATATGAATTGATGTCTTAACAACATAGAAAATAAAGATGACATAACTGACGACAACCTTACTGTACGTAAATCCGAGGTGTTGATTAGTGGATCAGACTTGACCCTACCTTAAATTTCAGTCTTACTATCTTAATGCACTACGGCATGTCAAAAGAATCCATACATAGGCCTAGGCCTAGGCTAACTAAAATAGGCATAGGCTTAGAATAGTGCTTTCCATACTAACACACTATAACTAGGCCTACAAAATGTAAACCGTACAGTGACAAAAACAAATAAGAATCAGCCAATTTATTGACATAGGTCATGGTAGGGTAACCGACCAGTTTGTCAAAATCCAGTTTGACAAAATCCAGTTTGCTGAGTTTTATGACCACTTTGTGGAAACCCAGTTTGCTGAATCCAGTTCACTGAAAAGATGAGAACCCAGTTTGCTGAAACCCTGTTTAAATTGCCGAAACCCAGTATGACAAATCTTGTCGTCACTGATTTGGCTACAAAAACGTAGCGCACTGAACTGTTTGTTTGTTTGTTTGTTTAATTTTAATATTTCTCCACACACATGAACATATTAACATACATAACAAAAGCTTAATAGTAAAACCAACTAAGAATAATAGTACATTACAGAATAAGTGTGTGGAAGGAGGCCAATTAAGTTTAGAATAAAATTTTAAGTTGTGGCCACCAGTTAAAAATATATAGAAATCCAAAAATATAAACACAAAATAAATATACAGTATTATACAC